CAGGGACTGCTTAGGCAGAGAGGGACTCACGGGCAGCAGGATCCAGTTGCTCACTGTGGTATCTTAGAGAACGGTGTGAGCCTCCATGCTTTCAGATTAAGACTCCCAAAATGTTTTCTTTTTCACATACAAAGAAAACTTGATTATGGCCTACAGCTGAAGGATTTATCAATTTCTCCTTTAAGAACTTGCTGTTTAGATTCTGCCCAAATCATGGGGTCAAGCCTGGCAACTTAAAATCTACAGGGGTTGGGCCGGAAGTGAAACATTAGGAATCCAACTATCATAGCAACCAGAAAGCACAAAACCCACGGAGTTAGTGTTCGGTTTTAGGCTCAGGTAATTGCAAAATGCCTTGAGTCTGTTCTGGGTCTAAATGCAGGCCATTCTCTGAGGTTAAATGGCCCAAATATTTCACTTGTCTTTCCTAGCTGTAGTTTTTCTTTAGAAACTTTGACCTTGGACATCTGGCCGCTTTAATGGATGTATACTTTTTCCCACAGGCTACCTGTGACTGAGAAAAAGGTCATCTACGTATTGTAGTAAAGTGGAGCCTTGGGGAAAAAGCTACATCCTCCAAGTCTGCCTTTTCTATTTGAGGAATATAGAAAGGATTTTCAGTAAAACTCTGGGTAATTACTATCCAGGTGATTAGCTTTCTCAGGGAAAGAGAGAAGGAATGTTGGCTGGCCCAATACACTGGAATAGTGAGGAATACACTACAGATAGACTAGAAAACTGGCTGCCAGTGAATATTGAGTCTAATAAGGTATGGGGATTTGTAACCACTGGATGCCTTAGCATAAATATGCCTTACTGCTCAGAGGTCCTGAACAAATCTCCACCTGTGGTGGTTTGGTCTCTTTAGTAGGTAGAACTGTATGTGGAATGAGGCCTCAAGAACTACTATGTGGAATGAGGCCTCATTTTTATTATACTTCCATAAGAGGCTTAATACTCTATAATGCAATCCGATTTAGTGGGTATTGTCAAATATTAGACAAAGGCTTTGATCAGTCTGAATTAATGCTGGTATCAGTGCATGACTTTGCCTATCAAGGGATAGGTATTTGATTCAGCAGTGAAGGGGTGGCATTCATTAGTCCTCTTCTGAACAAGGAATGACAAAAGAGGGAACTTAGAGTTGATGGATTCCAAGGTTGAGTCCGTGTAGCTTGCATGATTCTAAAATTACACGATTCTAAAATCCCCCTTTTGGGGGGAAAATGTTTTTAGAAAATAATGTGCAAGGAAGTAGACTGGGAAGAACTAAGCAAAAGCGTGGATATTTTGGAGAGAGCCAAGAAGGAAAGAAAGGAGATGTGAGACAAAAGGAGACAAAGGCTTATTAGACTATCATTTGATTCTTCCTGCTCAGGCAGGGGCTGATTGAGGCCGGGCTGTTGAGGACTGACAGTGGGGTTGCAGTCACTAGGAAAACAGTGAAGACCTTGTTCCTGACTTCAAAGGCGGTTTCACCCCGATGACTAAGTGAAGACTGGGAAGGCCACCCGCCCCACCCCAACCCACACTGTAACTCCTTGGAGCCCCTGTGAGAGTGGTCCCAGGTGGAGAAGGTAGGTGTGGGGTAGGTAGAAAGTTTCTTCTCTGGCAATCTTTGGGTGTCCTGGCTTCTCACAGTGGGACATTTTAGGACGTCTCCCAGTGTTATCCAGCAGCCTCCATCTACTATAATAGATTACTTAAAATCACACTTTCCTCCCTACAGGGGTAAAATGGTTTTTACTTCCCTCCATTTCCAGAAGCAATTTGGGTCTTCACACCTTGGTGGAAAGAGTTTTCCAAGCATCTTCTCTTGCTGTTCTAAGAATCCAGGGAATGGAGAAGTCTGTGCCTCGCCTCCAGCAGCCAGTCCTATCCTGCAAGACACTCTGGTCTCTGCCTGTTGTCTTCTTGCACAGCCAGTAGGGGCTGTTGGCAAAGAGCTTGAGTGTGAACTCCTCATTTTTGCGCCCCCAATTAATCCAAACGTTAGCAGTCTACCTTTAAGAATTCTATCACTTCTTCCCTGACTACTGCTTAGCTGCCTCTGTGGCTGCCCGTCTTCCTTCTGTGTTCGGCCATGCTGTGTCTGTCTTCTCAGAGGGGCTTAGCACTCTTTAGAACTTAATTCGCTTGGTTGCCTTGCAACCTCAGCTCTGAGGACTCAAAAGATAGAACCGCGTAGATTATCTGGCCCTTAAGGGAAGAATGTTCTCTTCATTCTACAGATTTTCTATATTCTAAACAGAAGCAATACCTCACTCCAAAACATTGTCTTTGTGGGTTTCTTTTTGATCTATGGACCGTTGTGTTATGGGACTCTCAATTCCCAGATATAGGATGGCTTTTTAATTACTGGTATTTCTAGCCTATTTGCATTTAATGAGAGCTCACTTTGTGTAACTTGCCTCCTGAAGTTTTATTTGTATCTGACCTTTTTTGGCAAAAGCTCCGCATTTGCTTGAACAGAACGTGGTGTGCATTTACTGGGCGTAGTTTTCTCTTTGTCCAACTTATTCATTACGGTCTTCAAATCTTCAGTATCTATCTTAGGTATATTAGTGTCCCAGTACACTTCAGAATTTTTCACCTTAAACTACACATTTTGGTTTTTATATCTTGATAAGATATTACCTGTCTCCAAACTAAACAATTCATCACTTTGAGGGGACTATGTCTAATTCCTTGCCTCTGTATTTCATCTAACATGTTAATATAGCTATACTAGCTTTTTGTTTTTTCAACTTGTCATGTTTTGGATATCTTAAATAACTAGATTTTCTGAAGCCTGACAGTATCTTAACTAAAGCACTTAGTCCTTTGAAGTTATTACTGGTACTTGGATTTAAGACTTATGAATTCCACATGGTCTGCCATTTCTTCCCCTGCCTGCCTTCTTTGATTACATTTTGTCCCATTTATTCTCTTGTGTTAATGGGTGTTAATATTCTGGGAATAAATAAATACAGAAAACACTAATGGTATCAGTACCTTAGCACTCTATCTAAATCTAACATTTAATATTTACCTCTTAAGGTTATATCAAAATTATCTCCAGCCAGTGGGAGTCTCTGCAAGTAGATGAGATTCTGGAATCAGATTATTCACTCATCAGCTACCTATGGCAACAAGACCACAATGGCAGATTGCAAATGAAGTAATAACTCCCAGCATACTCCAGTGACCCTTGTTGAATTTTTTGCATATCAGAATCACCTGAGGAACTTGGCAAAAATATAAGTCAAACACTGTTGCTTCAGGCTGGACCTCTGCTTTTTTGGCATACAAGGTGACTGCTTGGAGTCTGAGAAGCTCCGTATTAAAGCATCAAGACTGAGATTACTCCCCTGTCACGAATGAGGATGACAGAGATGGAAGAGGAGGTACAATTTGTTTAGCATTTGGGAGAGAAGCAATAGAATCAGGACTGAAGTTGGTTAACTGCCAGACTAGCACTAAAGAGAACATGGAAGCCCAGGCCCGCTACTTAGAAGCTATGATATTATTTAAAGGAGTTGTCATCTCCTACAGCCAAAGTGCAGATGCTGCTGAAAGTCGACCCTAGTGTATGACTAGAAAAATAGAGACACAAGGAATATCAAATTCTTATACCTGGTAAGTCTCCTAAAGTCAGGATCTGGTGAGGAAGGAGTAGGATGATACTGACATCTGGGAAGATGGACTCTGGATCCTTGAGTCCCCCAGAATCCACTGTACCTCTCCCCTTAAAAATAGAGGCATCACCTGAGATACATGCATCATCATCTTGACCTATGCCCCCATCTCTCTGTGGCTTCCAGGACCGTTGTGGCAAGTCACAGCATGACCTAACTGGGTCAATCTTTCTGCCATAGGAGGGGAAGGAAGTACTCACCCACAGATCTATGGGATCTGGCTATTCTGAGTAGGAAGACACCCCTAGGAATGAGTCTTGAGAATGCTGGAGGAGGGAAGTCAGAATATGAGGCTTAGGCAATGGTTAGTTGCCCACAGGGACCCTGATGGGAGTAACGAATGGTCCAGAGAGGATACAAGGAACTAGTCCTAAAATTCTGTAGTATGGGAAATCTTGGGGAGGAGGTTTCAAGGAAAATTATGGCCCATAGCAGCAGTTCTGAAGACCTGTTACATATTCAAATTCTGGAAGATTAGAAAACTTCATCCCCAAGCTTCCTGCAACCTCTCATAAATAAACCTCTCCAGTCTCTGGAGGTAGGGTCCAAGCATCCATTTTAGAATTGCCCAGGTGACTCTAGTGCATAGCCACGTTAGAGAGCCATGGATACATAACAAATGAGGAAGAGATGCCAGCACTACCTTAGCATATTTTTGAGAAATCAGTCTGTAGGCCATGGTTGGTAGGGGTAGGGAGAGAGAAAGGGGCTCAAATGTAAACCTGATAGAAGAAATAAAGTTCCAGAAAAGCCAAGATAATCTCAGGAGGCCCCAGGATTAACTTTTTTCCATAAAACAAAAGCACTAGTGAAGTCACCAGCCTCACTAAAGCTAGTGGTGGCTTTCTTCTGTGGGCCCAGGTTGGTAAGGAAGGTTCCCACGTAACAGAGTTCCCTGGTGTCCATGGGGATGTAAGAGTTCAGAAACAACAGCAGGCAACAGCAATTGACCCTCCGTGCCTAGATGGATATGATTATTATATAAAGCCACAAAGCCAGAATGACAATTAAAAGTCCTAATTCACAGGGCTACTAGCCTATTGAAAATATTGTTAAAAAATTGGGGGGGGGGGTGGTTAGCCCAAAAGGTATTACATGAGTCACCTAACCAGAAGAGACCAGTTGAAGACTTGTCTACCAGCCAGATGGAAAGCCAGTATCATCTCTTGTCTAGTGGTCAACTCTGAGCCAGTCCCAAATCTAATTGAGAAAGGACCCACAATACCATAACATGTACATAGTGATTTCCCCATGTCCTTCAAAGACTCTATGGTCATTTGAGGACCTATACCCCTAGGGAAAGGTAAACACTCGGGTCTTTCAGAAGCTGCTGTGTACAGGGTTGGATATGTTACTTATATGAAGGGCCCAGACCCCCTCATGATGTTCCTATTAGAGTGTGCGAAGTCAAAGTTCTCTCCCAAGTAGGTCTTGCAGTCCATCCTGTGAGTCTCTACATCTACTTGATGGTCATTCCATTGGCTAAATGTCTGAATGGACTGGACACACTTGGAAGTTAGCAAAGATCTCATTTATTCATGACCTAAGAGTAGAATAAGAATTCCTAAGGCAGGAAACAGCAAGGAGAAACCCATAAAACTACCTTGCCCAAGACAGGAAACCAAGGTGGCTATGGTATCTGGGTAGAATGGTTTCCTCAAAGTCGTAAAGGATGCAGAAGATCTCCATCAGTCATATCCCTTTCAGTGTGCCTGTATGCTACCTGCAAAAATCAGATGGACTCGTGGTAGAGGATGATCAAGGACAATAGGCAAGCAAGGATCATGGAAACCATCCTGTCACTGCATAGGTCAGAGGTTGCCAGCCTGATAGACCTGAAGATGGCCTCTTGTCCACAGCTGATGCATCAACTTTGCCTTGGATATATGGCTGCCTTGAAATGCCTGTGTAATTTAAATAGCCATTCTTGGCTGTGACCAGTAGGTAGAATACAAATGATATTTTCTCACCAAGGGTAGAAAACAGGAGTGGCTGTCCTTAGCATCTCTTTAAGAGACCTACTTGAGGAATTTGTTTCTTTTCAGTGAGTTCTGGCTCCTGGCAGAGAGAGGGGTTCCTTCCGAGGGACTCAAGTCCCATTAAACTTAATACTGGCAGGTCATTTTGGATAAACAAAATGACTATGAATGATTGAGGTGTGTCTAGGCACTGACTTGTCTGGAATTCACTAGACGTGTCCTGGTGTTCTCACGACTGGCCAAAAAATAAAACTCAGAGGCTATCGGTCTAGTGCTTAAAACTGGGGTCTCAGACTTCTTGAAGTAATGTCTGCATTTCCCCTCCAGGAAAACAACCTAGACCATACAAATCAGGGCTGAAGTGACATATCTAGAATGGATGGTGGAGGAGGAGGGAACACAATATCGGTGAACTGTTGTAGGTTGGGTTCTCCTAAAGGTGCCACTGTAGTTTGGGGTATGAGATTCAAGGATACACACCTGTGAAAGGAACAGGGAGAAAGCAGATTGGGCAGATGGAGAAGTCAGCACTGGAGCAGGTCAAAGCCTGAGCCAACCTGACAAGGGGAGCTGTAGCGTGAATGTTGTCCATCAGGGTCCTCAGACTTGGCCAGAAGGCCCAGGCCCACGTTTCTCCCCTTCACTGGTTTACAAGAGGTGGGTCGCCTCAGGAAGAACATCTAGAACAAAGGAGATTCTAACAAATATAGAGACTGAAGGAGATGGTGACCTTGTAGATTTCAATCCCAGGCTGGCTGGCAAGCAGAAGCAGTGACTTTGGTTCTGGGTGTGACATGATGGCTGCACAGAGGGGAGCTATGGCTGCAGGAAGTCTGAGGGCACATAGACCATTGCAGCAGCCTTGGTGATGTTGTTATACTTGCCCATGGCCCACCTTCCTGCTTGCTATCCTGTGACCACCAAGATGATTCAGCTCTTGCTATCCATTCTACTTCTTAGTTTTGATGTCTCCAAGCAGATGTTGTCTGGGATTGTTCCCTGTTGAGGATGAGTTTAGTTACCCAGACCTCAAGGAGAATCAATGTTGGTTCTTTCTCCAGGTCATCCCACTCTTAGAGAAATGATGGTCTCCTATTGCTGTCTCATCACCTGGTACTGATGGTCCCATTCCTACGCAAGCATGGATTCACTCCATGGCCCAGTATTACCAGTATCCTTGGGCATGATTACATGATGCCATCCTGATCAATGGGGATGGAAAGGCTGGTAGGTGGCCTGGATGGCTTAATTAGATGAACAGAGGAACCAATAACTTTGTTTTCTAGGATGACCCTCGGGCTGCTCCTTCTCCCAAAACAAAAAGCATAAGAGGGGGTGCCATTCTCACTGAAGTTGGTAGTTCTCTCTCTGCCAGGATAGATAGAGGAGGTGATTATGGAACTGGGCTCTCTGGTATCCATGGGAATGAGAGAATGCAGAAATAGCAAAGGTCAGGCAACAGCACTTAACCATCAGAACATGGACTTAATTACCATGAGTCACAAAGCCAAGAGAACAGCAGAAGCCCTGATTCACAGGGCTGTGGATCACCACTATATATATATGATGGAAGGAGATGGGTAACTGAAGGTATTTTGCTTGACTTAACATAACCAGAGGTGAAGAGTTAGGTGAGCAGAAGATGGACACCAGCTGCCCCAATGGAAAGTCACCATTCCTTGCTCAATACTCACTTCAATCAATACTGGCTAATTCTTAAAGGATGCTACACTACTACAACAAGCACATAGTACCCATTTATGATGTCCTTCCCTGAAGGTATCTGTGGTCATTTACATAGGAACTAGACCATGAGGAAAGGAGAACAATAAGTTCTTTGAGGAGTTGTTGGATGCCGGGTTGGACTTAAACTGGCATAAAAGGTTTAAGACCTTACTACTAGAGTAAGGATGTATGGATCAGTTAAAGTCCTCACCCAAGCTAGTCTTAGTCCAGTGAGTCTCTGCATCTACGCTGAACACTTCACTGGCCTCTGAATGCCTGAAATGGATGGACGTACTTAGCAAAGCCCTCATTTTGCTTCCTGTTCTAAAGACTAAGGGTTACAATGGCTGCAAAGACCATAAAACTGCTCTAGGGCCAAGGTAGTAAATCAGAATTAGTATCACAACTAGATTGAATGGTGGAGATTAATGTTCTTAATAGTCTCAAAGGATGCAGAAGTAGTGGTCCCAATCAATCATACCCCTGTTCAGTTTACCTATACAGGCCCTGCAAAAGTCAGATGGGCTCGTTGTAGATGATGATGGAATAGAACAATGCACAATAGATTAGATTACCATGGTATACTGCAGAGCTCGGAGGCAGCTGGCCCGACAACCTCTTGTTCAAAGTTGATGCATTAGCTTTAGTGCCTTTGATATCAGCTGTCTTGAAAAATGCATGTATAACTTGAACCAATATCCATTACTTGCTGTGAACAGTAGGTACAATAAAAGGATATTCTATGATTAAGGTGCTATAAACAGGAGGGGCTACTATCTTTCAGGGGACCACTTGAAATGTGCACTTCACTTTGCCACAGCTTTATGCTCTAGACGAGACCATTACTGGGAAGAGAAGGAAACTTTCCCACCATGAGGGAGAAAAAAGCTCCACACCAAACTCGGCTATGGGTGCCACGAGGTCATTTTGGACCAATTGATAAAAGATTGATCATGAGAGCAAGGATAGTTGCTCCATAATGCAGCCAGGCCTGACTTCTGTGGGATTCGGTGGACATCCCTTGTTGCTACCATGACTAGTAACAACCAGGAATGTCAGTAACCATTGCCTGGTAACCACTTTGTAACCAGGGACTTGGATCCTCTAAGGATGAATGCATCAATTACCCCTCTTTGCAAGTACCCTAGATGACACAAATAAGGGTTTAGGGTGAATGATTTCTAATAGAGGTGGTAGATAAAGAATATATCAGCAGTGACTTTTTGCAGGTTTGGGGCCTCCTAAAGGAGCCCCATCTAGTTTGGGGTATGAGACATTTATACAATCCTCAGATTGGGTAGATGGGCAAAGTCAAACGCTGGAGCTAAGCCAGAGAGCCTCAACCAACCTGAAATGGGGAAGCCATAGTATGAGTGTTGCTAATCAGTGTCCCATGCTGGGCGCAAAGGACCCAGGCTTGTTTTTCCCCTTCACTCAGTTACAAGATATGGGCAGCCTCAGGAACATCACCTAGAACAAGGCGATTGTAAGAGAGCTGGTGACTTTGTACATCCCAGGCTAGGTGACAGGTGGGAATAGCTGTGTGTGCCAGGTCAGGTTGCCAGAGTGGGTGTATGGAGCAGGGTTGCAGAAGCTGAAGGTGCCTGGAAAGCCTGAGAGGGATCTCGTTAGCAGCCTTGGTCATGTCCGTAGACTTACTTGCCTGATTTCCTGTTTGCTCATGTGAACATGCTCTTGGCACAACATGATTGCCAGGTTGTTGCTGTGCTTTTTTAATGATCTGAGTGAGGCCACCTGCCTGTCCTTTGAAGTCAGTATTTTTGTCCTTTAGTTGATCCCATTCATTGGTATGGCCTGCGGTTTCTCATTGCTGTCTTTTCACCTGAGAGTGGTGGTCCTATTCTTGTTGCTACATTTGTTCACTCCATTTGTCCAGTTAGTATTGCTGGGCCCATCTGCAATAGGTCTTCCTAATCAGTGAGGGTGGGAAAGGCTGGTAGGTGGCTTGGGTAGTTTGCATAAGCAGGGATTCCAGGGTACATGCTTCCTCTGCCAGGAATACTCAGAGTTGAACTATAAGCATAGTGAACTCTGTGGAGAAACGTTAAGACAGACTTACTGGAATCTTCCTGTACCGCGAATCAGTGATGGTTTTAGAGAATGATCAGTCTTCTGACTTCAGACATCCTGGTGCTATGTGTCTAAACAAGTTCACAGCATAGCAGTTCTGGATTCAGGTATGTTCTAGACTCACCTGCCTTGAGTGGTAGCTCTCATACTATTTTGGACCTTTCTGCAGTATTGGGAGAAAAGCTACTACCTCAGCTAGAAGCACAGAACAAGGGAACTGTAGGGCTTGCATGGGGGTTCTCCAGTTTGCTTACGGCATCCCCGAGTGACACCCCACCCTGTGGACGTGTGGCCTTTGGAGCCTAACTGCATGCCAAATGTGCGGGGGAGTTGACCTTCTCCAGGGCAGACTTTCCCAATGGGAACGAGGAGCTAGTGGATGAACTAACTTGTTCTGACTCACTCAGAAGGACTACTGGAGATGACTTTAGCCTCTATAAAGACTTCTGGGCAGACAGAGCAGTCAGCTTGCTGGGAGGCAATGGCTCACTTAGGACACCCTTTCTCTTATTTACTATTTCTCCTTAACTGCTGCCTCTTGTTTTTCTTTGTATTCATCACTATGTTCCAATGGCAGCAAACGTGTTTTTGTCTCAGGATCTATATTCTAAGACACCTGACCTGAAATCTGTTAACAGTACTTGCCAAAATTTAGATTTTGAATCTAATCAAGAACCAGAAGCTTAATTTAGGAGATAAAAGAAACAACATGGGAGACTAGGAAAACGGCGGACAGGAGGCAGGACTAACTTGCAGCTCCCACTTGGGCAGATAGCAGCATGTGGAGACTTGCATTGTGAACTTGTGCACCAAGAACTATTGCGGGAGTGTACCAGACATGCTTGAACATACCAGACAAGTCTGAAAGAAGCGTCTTGCCACTGCAGGCTCTGAGACAGCCGAGACACCTTGCAAAATGTGAGGGGGAACATCCACCCCTGAGCACCCATCCTCGCTGGGGAACCTGAAGGTCTAGATCCTGGGAGGAGGATTTGACCTTACCTGGAGCTGAGACGAATTTAGACACCTGAACAAAATATAGGGGTAGAGGAAGTGGCAGGAAGAGCCCTGTGGGCACACACTATCCCCTGGGAAGCCATTTTACTTTGTCTCGCAGAGGTCCTTGGGGGAAGGTTGCCAGTGGAATTGGGGAAAGACCACAGAGGAAGAACTTCCAGTTGAACTTTGTAACAATTTTGACTAAGGTGAAATCTGGACAGAATTCGGGAGAGAGGGATAACCAGGGAATATGGATACAGGCACAGAAACTGGGGCAGACAGGGAGGCCCGAAACATTGAAAGAAAGCCCTCCTTGCTTTCTCAGCTTGGCAACTCAGTCTAGGGCGAACTCTCAGACCTGCTCACTGACTGCCTGGAAATAAACTCAGTGCTGTTGTCAGTGGGCTTGGTGGCAGTGGAACTGGCATTTCTGACTGTGGGAGCTGGGTAAGCCAGTCATTGCTGGCTTTCCCCCACTTCCCTGGCAACCTGCATGAAGCAGCAGAGACAGCCATCATCTCCCTGGGAACATAACTTCTTTGATCTTAGAACCACCTCCCCCCCACTCAATCCTCCACAGCAGCAGCAATAGCAAGCCCCACCTAAAGAGTCTGAGCTCAGACACACCTAATCCTGCCCCCACCTGATGGCCTTTCTCTACCAGTGCTCATAGTTGAAGACAAAGGACTTAATCTCTTGGATCCAAACGGGTAAAGAGGAAGTCAAACTGTCATTGTTCACCAATATAATTGTATACCTAGAAAACCCTAAAAATTTATATAAAGCTCCTAAAACTAATAAATCAGTAAAGTTTCAGGATACAAAATTAACCTACATAAATCAGTGGCACTGCTATATACCAACAACCAAGCTGAGAAATCAAGGTGTCAACCCCTTCTACAATAGCTGCCGAAATACTTAGGAATTTGCCTAAAAAGGAAGGTGAAAGACCTCTACAAGGCAAACTACAAAACACTGCTTAAGGGAATCATATATGACACAAATGGAAACACATCACATGCTCATAGATGGGTAGAGTCAGTGTGAAAATGACCATACTGCCAAAAGCAATCCACAAATTCACTGTAATTCCTATCAAAATACCACCGTCAGTCGTCACAGAACTAGAAAAAGTTCCTGAAATTCATATGAAACCAAAAAAGCTTGCATAACCAAAGCAAGACTAAGCAAAATGAACAAATCTGGAGCCATCACATTAACCAATTTGAACTTAGACTATGAGGCTATAGTCACCAAAACAGCCTGGTACTGGTATACAAATAGGTGCACAGACCAACAGAACAGAAGAGAGGACCCATAAAGCCAAATACTTACAGCTACCTGATCTTAAAGTGGGGAAAGGTGCTGGGAAAATTGGCAAGCCACATGTAGAAGAATGAAGCTGGGTGCTCATCTCTCACCTTATACAAAAATCAACTCAAGATGGATCAAATACTTAAATCTAAGACCTAAAACCGCAAGAATTCTAGACAATAACATCAGAAAAACCCATCTAGATGTTGGCTTAGGCAAAAACTTCATGATCAAGAACCCAAAAGCAAATTCAACAAAAAGAAATACGTGGGACTTAAACTGAAAAGCTTCTGCACAGCTAAAGAAATAATCAGGGCCATTGCAATCCAGCCTGGGTGACAGAGTGAGACTCTGT